GAAGGCAGACACTTAAGGACTGAGCCACCCAGGCGCCCCATGGAAGATTCTTAAATAACTAGCTATTCCTATATTTTTCTCTTACTTAACAGATGCTTGTAACAAGCAGAACATTAACTGACTAAGAGAGTTTTTAATTAATTATGAAAAATACAGGAAGCTGGAATGTGAATTTTAATGGTGACTATTCATTTCCTAATCAAATTAATAAACATGAAAGGAAAAAAATACATTCAAAAACTTGTTGCAGTTAGACAGCTGTTTTCCTATAGGTTTGGAAACTGATCTCCAAATATTAAAAATATTAAATACATATTACAAAAGACAACATAAAATTTTTTTAATTTTAAATGACCATTATAAATATGCATACCTATCTTTAATAGGAGGTTCAAATAATGTTTTATTACACTATAAAATGATATGGTTTCTTTCCAAGTTGGTATCCTTGTGTCCAGGTGGACAAGAAGTAATCAAGATGGCTTCAAGAAGCATAAATGAAAAGGTTTATATTATAAAAGTTAGTATATGAATGGGAATTAGGTTATTAATATATTCATAAAACTTTGCAGGGTTTAATTTTGAACTATGTTTCTCTTACATATGTCTTTTCTACTTTTTTAAAGGTTAGTTTAAGAAATGGGTCCAAAAAAATTTCAGGCCTATATGTCAACAACAGGAAAAGTACTACAAAATATTAAATATGCATTTATGACAATAAGACATAAAGGCTAACAAGATAGTCATTCAGTTACAGGAAGTACGTGTTGCTAAGAAATGCATACTTTTACCTTTTATTTCTATTAAGAACCCTTCTGGGGTGCCTGGGTGGCTTAGCTGGTTAAGCGTCTGACTCTTGATTTTGGCTCAGGTCAAGATCTCAGGGTCATGAGATGGAGCCCCACGATAAGCTCCATGCTCAGTGCAGAGACTGCTTGTCCCTCTTCCTCTGCCCCTCCCTGCTCTCTCTCTCAAATACATACATACATACATATACATACATACAATCTTAGAGGAAAAAAAGAACCCTTCTGAAGGAATCAAGGCTTTTTTTTTCATAGCCTGATAGCTAAGGAGGAATTACCTTTTTTTATTATTTTTTATTTATTTATTTGAAAGAGAGAGAGTGTGTGAAAGAGGCAGCACAAGCAGAAATTTGTTTTTATGCTAACCTTGCTTCTAGGATCACTGATAAAACACTGGAAAATCACTTGGCATCCTTAAGTTATAGAGAGTGCATATGTATACATGCACAAATACCTACATCTCTACATACATATGAAATATGATTGTATCTCACTGAGTAAATGGAATTTGCTAATGAAGAAATTCAGTTCAAAGGAAGACCTCCTCCAAACACATTGGCTTGGAGAAATGCATGACTCCTCTCTGGCTCTCCCCATTCAGTATAGATTTATACAAGCATATTCATCACTTCCTGGGAAAGGCAGGGTAACCCAGAGAGAAGAGCCTGGGTTTTGAAGTCAATGTGACATCTGTTTGAGTGAACCATTTAACAGGAATATGACCTTGGGCAGTAATTTAAACTCTTTGAATCAGGAAGCCCATTTAAAATGAAAATAAAATTCCCACATTGCAGGGTTGTTGGGATGACTGAATAAGGCTAAGTGTGCAAAGCACTTAACCAAGCACCTGGCAAGAGAAAGCTGTCGGTAAACAACAGCTATTATATTAAGATTCGTTGGTTTGGCGAGCTGGGAAGGGGGAAGTTCACTACATTCACTTCAGGTTAATAGATAAATTCTATTTAAAAATACAACAAAAAAGATTATATAACAGTTGCCTTCTAAACTGGTATACTATACACAATAATTATTCCTTGAAAATTTAGTATTTGGAAATATATTAGTTTTTCATAAATACTGAATGGGACACAGTGCAGGTGGGGCTGATTAACTCAAACTACAAAGACTTCATTCCTCTGTTATTATAGTGCCTAAGAATCATATATGTCAGAATGCCTGGGTGGCTCAGTCGGTTGGGCGTCTGCCTTCGGCTGGGGTCACGATCCCGGAGTCCTGGGGTCAAGCCCCGCATCGGGCTCCCTGCACAGCAGGGAGTCAGCTTCTCCCTCTGCCCCTCACCCCGTTCTCGTGCTCTCTTTCATTCTCTCTCTCAAATAAATAAATAAAATATTTTAAAAAATAAATAAATAAAGGCCATATACAAGTCCAAAGCTAACATCATACTTAATGGTGAAAAGCTGAAAGCTTTAAAAAAAAGAGAAAAAATCGCCTATGTCCTCCAAGTTTACTTGTATTATGAGATTAAATTAATTTCTAATAAAATTAGAAAGATTAAAGCACAAATACCCATACCCTTCAACTATCAGCTCTTGGATTAAAGCCGTGATTAAAGTGTCCAAATAACACAGATAATGAGCATTCTAAATTAGCTATAAGTCACATGATTTTTTTCTCCCTACACAATACAGTTAACCTCTCTGAAAATATTTTGCCTAGCTTATAAATTAATTTATAGTCCTTAATACACTCCAGCTGAGTAGTAAGAAATAAGCAACCAATAGACCTGGCTACAAGTTAAAAATTAGCCCTAGATAATTCTGACAGCATGGCCTCACAAAGAACTATTCACCTATTTGCTCTGAGAAAAGTAACAATTTATGTCAGAGAAGGGATAAAAAATGCTGATCTCATGGAATTCACAGCATAATACAACTCTACAGAAATGGTTTTTAAAAAAATAATATACTGATAAATGTTTGACATTATTTATAAAAAGAGTTCAAAATAAGTTTGGCTCAAGGCTATTGTTATACCTATTTATTCCCCCAACAGTTTCTGGTTTTTTTTCCCTAGTTTTTTTTTAATAAGTTGTCCTATTTTATGTTTTAATCTATTAAATTCTAATCAAACTGTATGTATTCTTACATTTTTCAAATGATAAATATAAACAAAAATGGTAAAATATCACAGCAATATTCTAACCAAAAATGCTTTCAATAATATTAATATTAATAAAGTAACTAAATAACTAAATAACTAAATAAAGTAACTACAGTAGAATTCTTAGGAGAAAAGCCAAATTATTATACCTAGTTTTATTCATTTGTAACCTGGAATTAATATATTCCCTTTCCCAACTTTTTGTCATTAGTGGCCAAAAATGAACAGAAATCTATCTTTTTAATATGAAATTAAATATATTTTGGGGTGCCTGGGTGGCTCAGTTGGTTAAGTGTCTGCCTTCAGCTCAGGTCATGATCTTGGGGTCCTGGAATCAAGCCCTGCGTCAGGCTCCCTGCTCAGTGGGGAGTCTGCTTCTCCCTCTGCCAATCTCTCTCAAATAAATGATAAAATCTCAAAAAAAAAAAAAAAGATATTTTACAATAGGACTGTTTAGGTATGCATAAATAAGTCATGGACCACTCAGGACCACGCCAGGTCTATTGGTTGCTTATTTCTTACTACTCAGCTGGAGTGTATTAAGGACTACAAATTAATTTATAAGCTAGGCAAAATATTTTCAGAGAGGTTAACTGTATTGTGTAGGGAGAAAAAAATCATGTGACTTATAGCTAATTTAGAATTTTGTGGATTCCTTTTTAAATAAACGGTTATTTTTCATAACCTAACCATAAATTAAAACTACTTGATTCCTTTGTTAATGGCTTTCCCCTATAAAGTACATTAACTTCTTCTGGAGTCTTAAACTCTAATACATGCAGATTATTATTAAAGGTCCCAGTTGTCTCCCTTCCCATAGAATTCTTCTTCCTGCTGAAACAGGAAAACAGACAATAAAATGCTGCCGTATCTATATCGCAATAGAAAACTTGGTTTAAGCAACTCTGTCTACTTTAATTCTAACATATCAAAAAGAAATAGTTACCCAAGGCATATTTGGGACTGTCTACATCGCTTTCTACTATCTGAATTCACGTTGACAGGTCTTAGAATACTTCCACAACTTTAAGGAATCCCTAGTGCATTTCTTTTCCATAAAAGAATATACATTATAAATTTCTGTTCAACTGTTTTTTTGTTAATGGTAACATAATTTTCAACACTATAAAGACCAAGTCTTATATGACTGGCTTCAAACAGTTAAAATTCCCATTACCTATATATACAATAAGTGTCTAAACAGTAATTTCTTATTTTGATATTTTAACTACATTTTAGTAGAAATACTTCCTTATGACTACAATCTAATACTAGCAACACTATTCAAAGACAAGTAATAACCACTCCTAACCTCCTTAATTTTAAGACCCTTGGATTAACCAAACACGAAGAATCATTTACACTGAGAAGCCTTGAGAGAAAATAAGTGGAGAAGGAAATTCATCAAAAACAAGCTGACACAAAAATGAAGGGGAAAAAATGAAATAATATCAATATAAAATTCAGTCTCCATCAAAGATACACATATACACAAAACCACCTCAGGACCCTTGCACAAGCTGTTCCCTCTTCCTGGAGCACTTTTACCCCAGATAACAGCATAGCTCACTCCCTCACCTCAAAGTCAGCTTCTCAGTGAGGGATGCTCTGACCACACTTCATAAATCACAAACCAGCCCACTGCACCCCCATCACTCCTAATTCCCCTTAATGTTCTATTTCTCTTCCACTGAACTTACCACGTGCAAGACTACAGGGTATTCTTATTTTGTTTATTCTCAGTCTTCCTCTCCTCCCCAGTAAAACGTAAAGCCCACAAAGGCAGAGATTTTTAGTCATTTTTGTTCACTGATATATTCTTAGTGGCTAGAAAAGTGCTTAGAACATAGTGGGCACTCAGGAAATATCTGCTGAGTGACGACTAAATGAAAGAATACATAATTATGAACATAATGAATAGACCCAAAGCAATGTATTTTTGTGTTCCCACTGGATATCAGGTGACTGAACCTGACTTTAATTAGCCAAGAGGTCATATAAATAAGTATATACATAGGGATGCAAATTACTCTACATTTTCCCCCTTTAACATCTCAATCAGTAACACATAATTACCTGCATCTTCCAATAGAGCACAGAGCAATGGGATCACCCACCACAGCAACCAGGGATTGTGCTCTTGTGATGGCAGTATTGAGAAGTTTGTAGTTAGATAAAAAACCATAATCTAAATCCTCTGTGGAATCTTCCAGCAGCTGCTCTTTCTTTTTAATCGGTGTCTGTTTATGTTTACAAGTATGCCTTGTACGTACTGTACTAAGAAACAAAACTCTGAACTGTTTTCCTATAAAAAAATAAATAAATAAGAGACTTAAGACAAAGCATTTCAGTTTTTAAATGTTATTGCTAAGTAACAAGTGTCCGTCAGAAACTGAAACTCCTATGTCCTGCAGGTGGGAATGTCAAAGGGTATGTAAAACACTCTGGAAAGTAGTGCGGCAGCTCCTAAAACAATTAAACATAAAACTAAAACACAAAATTAAATTTAAGCATAGAATTAACACAGGATCCAGCAATTCCACTTCTGAGCATTTACCCAAAAAAAACTGAAAGCAGGATCTCAAACAGATAATTTATATACCCATGTTCATAACAGCCATTAGTCACGGGGGCAAAAGGTAGAAACAACCCAAGTGTCCATCGACAGATGAATGGATAAACAAAATGTGGTGTATACATACCATGGAATATCATTCAGCCTTAACCAACTGAGCCACCCAGGCACCCCTATCATTCAGCCTTAAAAAGGAAGGGCATTCTGACACACGCTGCAACATGGATGAACCCTGAAGACATTACGCTAAATAAAATAAGCCAGTCACAAAAGAACAAATACCACAGGACCACACTTATATAAAGTACCTAGAGTGGTCAAATTCACAGAGAGAAAGCAGAATGGTGGTTGCCAGGGGGAAGAGGGAAGTGGGACAGGGAGTTATTGTTTAATGGGTACAGAATTTCAGTTTCACAAGATGAAAAGAGTTCTGGAGACGGATGGTGGTGATGGTTGCACAACAAGGTGAATGTCCTTAATGCCACGGAACTGTGGCATTTTACGTATTTTTGAACTGGAAAGACACTTTCAGAATGAACACATAAAAATGGTTAAAATGATAAATTTTTTAAAATTTAAAAAAATACTATTGCTGGAACCAGCCTTAATGATTATCTCATCTAAGGTCCCACTCAACACAAGGACCATTCCTTGAAGCAAGGTCATCTAGCCTCTCCCTAACCAAAGGCCGACACAGCTGATTGCATAAGGAAGGCTTACTGAGACTCTAGTTTGCACAACATTTTTTCTTCTGCTCTTTCTTTTTTTTTTTTTTTTAAAGATTTTATTCATTTATTTGAGAGAGAGAATGAGATAGAGAGAGCATGAGAGTGGGGAGGGTCAGAGGGAGAAGCAGACTCCCCGCCGAGCAGGGAGCCCGATGTGGGACTCGATCCCGGGACTCCAGGATCATGACCTGAGCCGAAGGCAGTCGCTTAACCAACTGAGCCACCCAGGCGCCCGCTTCTGCTCTTTCTTATAGCAACACATCTATTTCCTCATTCTGTGACAAATCTACAAATTTCTGAATACAGTTTTAATATCAATCTTCAGTCTTCTCTAGCCAAACAACCCAGGTTCTTTCAATCATTTCTGATTCCCCCCACGTGGCAGTTTTTAGACCATTACTTATCCTAGGTCTCCTTTGGGTGCTTCCTATCTTACTGGTAATATTCCTTCTAAATGCAAGCCCAAATGTGCACTCTCACCATTACCATTTAACATAGTACTGGAAGCCTTAGCCTCAATCAGACAACAAAAAGAAAAAAAAGGCATCCAAATCGGCAAGGACAAAGTCAAACTTCCACTATTTGCAGACAACATGATACTCTGTGCAGAAAACCCACAAGACACCACCAAAATAATGCTAGAACTAATACATGAATTCAGCAAAGTCGCAGGATATAAAATCAAAGTGCAGAAATCTGTTGCATTTCTATATACAAAAAATGAAGCAGGGGCGCCTGGGTGGCTCAGTCGTTAAGCGTCTGCCTTCGGCTCAGGTCATGATCCCAGAGTCCTGGGATCGAGCCCCGCATCGGGCTCCCTGCTCCGCGGGAAGCCTGCTTCTCCCTCTCCGACTCCCCCTGCTTGTGCTCTCTCTCTTGCTGTGTCTCTCCCTGTCAAATAAATAAATAAAATCTTAAAAAAAAAAAAAAAATGAAGCAGAAGAAAAAGAAATCAAGAATCGATCCCTTTTGCAATCACAGCAAAAGCCATAAGATACCTGGGAATAAACCTAACTAAAGAGGTAAAAGATCTGTACTCTAAAAACTACAGAATGCTTATGAAAGAAATTGAAGAGGACACAAAGAAATGGAAAAGCATTCCATGCTCGTGGATTGGAAGAACAAACGTTGTTAAAATGTCTATACTACCCCCCAAAAATCTACACATTTAATGAAATCCCTATCAAAATGCTACCAGCATTTTTCACAGACCTAAAACAAATAATCCTAAAATTTGTATGGAACCACAAAAGACCCCAAACAGGCAAAGCAGTTCTGAAAAGGAAAAACAAAACTGGAGACATCACAATTCTGGATTTCAAGCTATATTACAAAGCTGTAGTCATTAAGCAAATATGGTCCTGGCACAAAAACAGACACACAGATCAATGGAACAGAACAGAAAACCCAGAAATGGACCCAAAACTATATGGTCAACTAATCTTCAACAAAGCAGGAAAGAATATCCAAAGGAAAAAAGACAGTCTCTTCAACAAATGGTGTTGGGAAAACCGACAGCCACATGCAGAAGAATGAAACTGGACCCCTTTCTTATTCCATACACAAAAATAAATTCAAAATGGACGAAAGACCTAAACGTGAGACAGGAAACCATCAAAATTCTACAGAACACAGGCAGCAACCTCTTCAACCTCGGCTGGAGCAACTTCTTACTAGACATGTCCCTGGAGGCAAGGGAAACAAAAGCAAAAATGAACTAGTAGGACTTCAAGATAAAAAGCTTCTGCACAACAAAGGAAACAATCAACAAAACTAAAAGGCAACCTATGGAATGGGAGAAGATATTTCAAGCCACATATCTGATAAAGGGTTATTATGCAAAATCTATAAAGAGCTCATCAAAAGCAACACCCAAAAAACAAATAATCCAGTTAAGAAATGAGCAGAAGACATGAATAGACACTTTTCCAAAGAAGACATCCAGATGGCTAACAGACACACGAAAAGATGCTCAATATCACTCATCATCAGGGAAATACAAATCAAAACCACAATGATGGGGCACTGGGGTGGCTCAGCCGGTCAAGTGTCCTACTCTTGGTTTCGGCTCCGGTCATGATCTCAGGATTGTGGGACCGAGCCCCACACTGGGCACCGTGCTCAGCAGGGAGTCCGTTTGAGGTTCTCTCCCTTTCCCTCTCCTTCCCACTCCGTCCCTCTTCCCCACTCAATACTCGCTCTCTCTCTAAAATAGATAAAATCTTAAAAAAAAATCAAAACCATGTACCTCAGACCTGTCAGAATGACTAAAATTAACAACACAAGAAACAACAGGTATCGACGAGGATGCGGAGAAAGGGGAACCCTCTTGAACTGTTGGTGGGAATGCAAACTGGTGCAGCCACTCTGGAGGTTCCTCAAAAAAATAAAACTGAATTACCTTACGATCCAGCAATTGCACTACTAGGTATTTACCCAAAGGATACAAAAATACAGATTCAAAGGGGTATAAGCACCCCGATGTTTACAGCAGCATTATCAACAATAGCCAAACTATGGAAAGAGCCCAAAGTCCATCAACTGATGAATGGATAAAGACGATGTGGTACACCGCGCACGCGCGCACACGCGCGCACACACACACACACACACACACACACAGAGGCCGGAATATTACTAAGCCATCCAAAAGAATGAAACCTTGCCATTTGCAATGACATGGATGGAACTAGAATGATTATTCTAAGGGAAATAAGTTAATCACAGAAAGAAAAGTACCATATGATTTCACTCATATGTAGAATTTAAGAAACATAACAGGTGAACATATGGGAAGAGGGGAAGGGAAAACAAATCATAGAGACTCTTAACAACAGAGAACAAACTGAGGGTTGGTGGAGGGAGGTGGGTTGGGGAGGGGCTAGATGGCAGATGGGTATTAAGGAAGGCACTCGTTGTGATGAGCACTGGGTGTTGTATGTAAGTGATGAATCACTGAATTTTACTCCTGAAACCAGTATTACACTATATGTTAACTAAAATGTAAATAAATACTGAAACAAACGCCCAAATTCTGAGGGATCTGGACAACACATGATATAGAACTATTTTGTCCCCATAACCTAAAACTGTATTACTCTTACTATTGTATATTCCCATGAAACCTAAAACTGTAATTATACTGGACTTTTCCAGCACTCACATGATAGTGTTGCTACATATATTTAAAAGCACAAACTCGGGGCGCCTGGGTGGCTCAGTCACTTAAGCATCGGACTTCAGCTCAAGTCACGATCTCAGGTCCTGGGACTGGGACCCACATCGGTCTCCACACTCAGCAGGGAGTCTGCTTGTCCCTCTCCTCTCCCTCCACCCCTGCCCGCCCCTTCTAATAAATAAAATCTTTTCAAAAAAATAAAAGCACAAACTCTATAGCAACTAATCACATGAAGGCAATTTAAATGAGCTCCTGGTAACTATTCACTTAGGAACGTCTATAGATAAAAAACAAACTGTGCCTTTAAAAATGCATTTAAACAGAATATGCTTGACAGGTTCAAGTTTTTGAAAATCTTTATGAACAAATCAGTCTTCAGATACAGTACAGTGACAGGAGGTGGCACACACTACTGTGATTGTAACTATTGCACACAGATGTAGTGTGTGGCATTCACACCATTATGGTCACTGAAAAAACCCATTTGTTCCTGCTTCTTTCATCTGGTTATAAAGATGTATTAAACACGTAAATGAGCTTGACCTTTAATTGCCAAATTTGGCATTAACGAATTTGGTATGAAATGAATACACAACTGCTTGTCCAGAAAAAAAGATCTTGAGAATTAAGAATCAAATGTGCACACACTCTAAGATTTAAGCATCTGAATAACTTAGTTCAATGAATACTTACCTTGAACATTTAGCACCCTTTCTACATTAACATCAGATAATCTCTTTTTTCGAAGTTCAGCACGTATCCTGAACACTTGATCAGCATATGGCGTCACCACACCAATACTGCCATCATCCAACTTCCCCCATGCTACTGGCCACTTCCTTCTCAACTCTTCCACACGTTCCACCACTTCGAACACCTTTAAACAAACACACATATGCATATTAAAGATAGCGTAACTGAAGCAAATGTATAAAGGATGCCATTTTAGCAAATGTCATTTAAAAACTACCTCTAAATAGGAGTAATGCTTTGCTGAAACAAAAGGAGAAAAATTTTATGTACATTTCAAACAGTAAAATTCTACCCAAGTAAAATGCACCCAGGGAAAACATGAATATCAGACACAATGTAATGGGCAAATGGCCTTCATCCTTTATCCAGCCTCCATTCTTAAATGGGGACAGGTTCAATTTCCTATGTGGGGAGGAGGACAAAGATAGGGCCATGAAACTGGCAACCCCATCTACGGAGTCAGGGAAGCAATTCCCCACATTCCCAAGATTTCTCAGTCCATTCACTCGATACGAGGCCAGTGAAATGAACAGCCAACTGAAAGAGTCCTAGAGTCAGTGCCACCATTAAGTCTCAGCAGTACAAGATCTAGCACTGTCACCGTCCCCCACTGATACAACTAAGCAAAGCAGCCAACAGCTAACATAACCACAGTTGGGACTAAGACAAATCTGAATTGGAGAGACACTTGGACGATTCACTGCCTCCTAGTAATACAAGTTTGCCCAAGCCATTTAATTAACCTTACAATAAGGTAACACCATATTCTACCCAACTGAATTTATTCAATCTATTTTAATACAATGAATTGATCGAAGTTTCAATGCTTGGAGCAGTGGAGGAAACAATGATTAATAAAACATGTTCCTTGCCTGCTGAGAGATTGCTGTATATTTAGAAAACAGATTCCATATATATGTATGTATATTCCATATATATATATATGAAAACGGTAGGCTCAACAAAGGGTCAGGCAAGACTCTAGGAGCATAGAGAAGAAAGCTGGTTGTTTTTTTTTTTGTTTTTTTAAGAGTTTATTTATTTATTTGAGAGAGAACGTGCACGCTCACGAGCAGGGGGAAAAGCAGAGGGGAAGGGGAAGGAGGGGTAAAGAATTTCAAGCAGACTATGCACAGAGCCTGATGTGGGGCTCGATCTCACAACCCTGAGATCAAGCCTTGAGTCGAAACCGAAAGTCAGAGGCTCAACCAACTGAGCCACCGAGGCGCCCTGAGAATAAAGCTTTTTAAATGTATTTTAAATAACATTATTTAATATTTGTTAATAATATGTACTTACATTTACAATGTTAAATATACTTAATAACATTTGACAGTATTTTTATTTCTTTCAAGAACTTGAGGATTATCAGCTAGGATTCACTTCTCACTGCCAGATACAAACTCAATGAATGACAGAGGTATGTACTAGAGTCTCCCTATTGTCACAATGATTTAACATCAAGTGCTTCAGATATATAGACTGCCCAAGGGTTCTGAAGAGTAAACTGGACTGAAGGTATGGCGCTCTCACTAGAAGGAACAAGAAAGGTGGGCCTGAGTCTACTGCAATAAAGAATAAGAAAAACCTATCTTCTCCCATTTTGTTAAATATGGGGGTAGATGAAAGTTGGGGAGACACCTCTACTGCCCGCCCCACCCAAACATACACACAGAGTTCCTACCACTAAGCAATACAAAACCATTTCTCCACCTCATCCCTCTGTGAAGGGATGCCTAAAACTGAAGTCAAAATACATAGACTTCGAATGGTGATATAAGGAGCTTGGGGAAACTTCTCTCCCAGACAGACATCTATTAAGCTGGTCAAAATTTGCAAAGTCTCTGGAGATTGATCAAAAACTTTACAAGAAATTGAGAAGCATTTATTCAACAAAGTGTATAGAAACTCAGTAAGAAGAGGGAGGCCAGGGCATTCAAGCTAGGTACTGCACCCATCCCCACACAGCTCTTACAGAAAGGCTATCTCAGTAGCTGAGAGGCAGTTCCCCTCTCCCCTAGCTCCCTGGGATGAAAGAGTTACTCCAGGTGGTTTGGGCAGCTGGTGAGCATCAGATCCCATTTTCCACAGCTCTATGCTGCAGAACACCTATACTGAACAGTTAACAGCAGTTGATTTTCTTATACTGCCTTCTAACTATAGACCTCTGATCAATTTTTAAAAGGAAAGATGAATTACCGTTACACAGTAAGACCCATTTCTTTGTAAATAAAATGAGTAAAGCATGGGACTCAAGAGAAGAAAGGGAAATGGAGATCACAGATCAAGACCCATTCCTCTAATGACCAACCAAGCATACCCCCTCCTCTGGGTTTCCTGAAGTCCAGAACTCCACTCCCTTATGACAGCCAGAACCTAACCCCAGAGTCTCTGGCCTGCTGGCCCTTAAAGACTTCACCAGGTTTTTGTCTGCTGCCTGACCATTTACCCACGTTCTCTCTAAACTTAGAAAGTCAGAAACTATAAGAGAATCATACAGGTCATAGCACATAATGGCTTAGCCACACTGTCATCTGGGCCTGTATAATCTCTCCGGAGCACAGGATTCTGCAATTCAAGCCTTACTCATTTAAAACAATAACTCATTTGAGGGGCGCCTGAGTGGTTCAGTCATTAAGTGTCTGCCTTCGGCTCAGGTCATGGTCCCAGGGTCCTGGATCGAGCCCCGCATCAGGCTCCCTGCTCCGCGGGAAGCCTGCTTCTCCCTGTCCCACTCCCCCTGCTTGTGTTCCCTCTCTTGCTGTCTCTCTCTCTCTGTCAAATAAATAAAAAATAAAATCTTTAAATAAATAAAATAACAACTCATTTGAGTATGTACTATGAAATATAATCACAGTCTATTTTAGTCAGCTAACAATAATAATTATATGAAAATAATATTGGCTTTTCTTTTAAACGAAGTAATGTATTTTGTATTTTGTCATAAGAAATGTAAATCAAGGGGCGCCTGGGTGGCTCAGTCGATTAAGCATCTGCCTTCAGCTCAGGTCATGATCCCAGGGTCCTGGGATCGAGCCCCACATCGGGCTCCCTGCTCAGTGGAGAGTCTGCTTCTCCCTCTCCCTCTGCCTCTTCCTCTCCCCCTGCTTGTGCTCTCTCTCTGTCAAATAAATAAAAAATAAAATCTTAAAAAAAAAAAAAAAGACATGCAAATCAAATGTAATCAAAATGTAAATCAGTTTTTGTTTCCCACAGGAGACTGATCTTAACAAATCAACGGAATACAAGAAGAATAAACTTTACATGCTATTTTCATGTAAATGACATACAATAGGACGTCAACCCAAAATCGTAAATGAACAGTCAACAAGAATTGACCATGTGACTGTGAAAATGTCAATAATCTGCAAAAGAACTAAGGTACCTCTGCATTATTATAAAAAGCTGTGCTATTTTTTTCTTGTACATCTTCCCCTCGTGCTGTAAAGAAAGTTAGTGGGTAGAAATCCTTGTGTGCTGGTTGCTTTCCACTGGCCATCAGTTTGCCCTCATAGAAGAGCTCAGAGGTGTAACTGCCAAAAAAGACCAAAATAAATAAATAAATAAATAGTGATTTATCATCAAAATTAACTTTATCCATAAGAAAAAAATTATATTGACTATAAATTATAGTCAACTCTAATAATGCTGCTTTATGTCCATGATTAATTTTAATTCAAACACCTAACACCTATGAGGGCAAGACTGTCCCCAAAATTAATCACAGCAATAACAACAGAGTAGGCTCCTAGTATACCATTGCTAAATGAATCTGGTCAGATGTGAAGCCAGAATATAGAAAGAAAAGGAAGAAATGACAATAGTCAATACTAGATAAGAATCTTGCTCTATGAGGAAATTGCTAGCTATTTTCCTGGTTAATACATATTTTTATTTATATGGATCATTTACTTACACATGCAAACACAAAGATATATAGACACTGAAACACATACAACCGAAGGACATTCAAGTCTTCAGCTGCAAAAAGAATACTTTTTACTGATGAAAAATACTAAGTACTTGATTCATTACTGACTGCAGCAAATGACTGGCAACAATAAGGAGAACCACATTTTGAGAGATTGATAAAAGCCATAGTTAAATCTAAATTTATTTTTATATCTATCTTATTGTTTTCAGAGAAACCTAAAAATGGTTTTCACTGACTAACATAATCAATATTACTAAATTATACTAAACTTTAAAAAACTAAGTTTTTGGTGGGGTAATGATGGGAAAGGAGCACAAACGGGCTTTCCAGAGTGCTGCTAATGTTCTGTTTCTTCATCTGGAGGCCGGGTTACATAGGTATGTTCAATTTGTGACTGTTCATTGAGCTGTCACTTAGGATATTTTTACTTTTATAGAGGCATACTGTATTAAATAGAAAACTTTAAAAACTTTATGACTAAGTTTCATGGTTTTTCCTTCCTTACTTGCTTCCTCCCTTCTTTCCCTACTTTTAAAACAGATTCCTTATATAACACAGCCAGACATAAAAGAAACTACTATGTGTTCTGTCAATGTATCTGTTTATTACCTCATGTAGTTTTACATATATATTACATATTTAGTCACAGGAAAACATCATAACTGGTAGAAACTAAAATTTTAGTTTCCAGGATTGCCTATTCTGTGAAAAATTGCAGCTGACCTTTAAGGTACTCTTTTTCAGAAATAAAATTTAACATAATTTGCAATGCTAGGGACACCATGTAACTGTGCTGGGAACAGTCTGTCCCTCGTACCAGTGCCATACAGAGTTCGCACCCACCAGACTGCAGGAAGTGTGATACAGAAGGGGCAGTTCACACCTACTTGATGATAGCTTCATGGGAGCGGTAGTTCTCACATAGGAGGATCCTACATGGAAACTCGGCAGGGTAATGCTCATAGAGTCGATCAAGTAATGAAACATGAAGGTTTCTCTCCCTGGCAAACTCGCTGTAAACAAAAGGACTGAGCTGTAACAGACAAACATACAGAGAAAATTTAACTAAATATGCAAGTAGCACTTTTTTGACCTATTTATAAAAAAATCCACTACGCTGAAACCTCTAATGTACTAAATCTCAACATGCTGAATGCTGGAATAAGCAGAATCGAATATACTTTCTCTGAACAATTTTACTACTATAAAGAACTAGGCTAAAATTTCTAACTTTTCATTTCAGTATATCAACAGTAGCACAGAGTTTCTACACATAGATTAACAAAGAGCTCCTCCAACATAATAATAAATAGCTATTACTTCACTAACTTTCAGAGATGCAACCCACTGCATCACTGGGAGAGTTAATCAGTTATTTCACTAAAACCGATCAACTATTTAAAAGGGTGAGCTGGAAGGATATACAGCCTATGACTAAAAAATTTAATTTAAGGGCGCCTGGGTGGCTCAGTTGGTTAAGCGACTGCTTTCGGCTCAGGTCATGATCCTGGAGTCCCCGGATCGAGTCCCGCATCGGGCTCCCTGCTCGGCGGGGAGCCTGCTTCTCCCTCTGACCCTCCCCCCTCTCATGTGCTCTCTCTCTCTCATTCTCTCTGTCTCAAATAAATAAATAAAATCTTTAAAAAAAAAAAAATTTAATTTAATAATCAGTAAAATAATGCTTTTTATCTCATAAAGTATAAGGAGCCATCCTTGATCATACCTTTGATGACTAAAGAACAAAATTAAACTACTTTTGGCAAAGAAACAAAAACAGAATTTCTTCCTCTACATTCAGCTCTTTCCTGGATGTCGTCAGAGCTACAATACTATATAGGTTCAATCCTGGTTACAGCAGAAGAGAAAGAACTTCAAACTGCAACTTCGTAAAACAAAGATTAATACAAAAATTCTCTCTCTCTTTCCTTATATAGGTACTGAAATACATAAAATCAGACACATTCTTTGAGATGTGGGCTATCATTTTGAATTAAGTATACTCTGTTTCCTATGATGGCAAAAAAAAATCAACCCTTCATGAAAACAAATGCTAGGGACAAGAACTGGGGAACTGTAGGAAGGATAACTTAAGTTTATTTTCTAAAGAAAAGTAAAAATCAAATAGTCACACTCTAGAAAGCTCATCTTCAAATTAAAAACATGAAAATTATAACACTGACAGACTCATTCATTCCACTCCCTATTCAAAGAAGGAAAAAAAACAGTGGGATAGTAATTTTCCTTCTGAAAAAGCAGTATTTTTCATTATTAGTACAGAAATATTTAAAGTACTTAAACTGTAATACATAGCACAATCTCAGAGGACGTTTTAGAAAACAGAATATTAAACATCAAAATATAATTAGTAGTTCCTTCAATATGATGACTCAGAGGGCGCATACCTGCATGTGGTCACCAGCCAAGACAATCCGAGTGTTTTTAGTTGCTAACGCTAGAGGCATAATGGTTTCACACTCCATGGCCTGGGCAGCTTCGTCTAACAGGATGTGTGTAAAAAACCCTACAAAGCACAGTAATAAACACAGTAAAGCAACACACAGCAGCAATAAAGGCAGCAGCAGTTCTTTCCTTTTCTGCTAAGGCAAGAGTTCAGTGGGCTCATTTCAGAGTTACGAGTACTTGTAATGCCAATCCTCAATTTAGAAAATCGTTAATTTAAATCATTATTTAAAGAACGGAGATGAAAAGAAAGAACTATTCTACCCAATAATAGATATGAAATGGCATCTGGTGCTAAGGACCCCCCAGAGGAATAGTTGACTGAATACATATAAAAAAGATGTTTGAAGGGGCGCCTGGGTGGCTCAGTCGTTAAGCGTCTGCCTTCGGCTCAGGTCATGGTCCAGGGTCCTGGGATCGAGCCCCGCATCGGGCTCCCTGCTCCACGGGAAGCCTGCTTCTCCCTCTCCCACTCCCCCTGCTTGTGCTCCCTCTCTCGCTGTGTCTCTCTCTGTCAAATAAATAAAAATAAAATCTTTAAAAAAAAAAAAAAAGATGTTTGAAGTACAAGATAGCAGCTTTTCATCAAAAAAGAAGGGCTGGCAACTAGACACTGATAGTCCTCTCATTATTTATGTGACGAAATATCAAAAATAAAACAATGGCAGTTTATAAGTAACTTTAGCTTTACCATACGTATTGAACAATAAAGAAAATCATACCTGAAATCTAATATAAGGGAGAAAGTTATAATCCAACCTTGACTGAAACAAAGAGGTTATCGATTAGCAATTCACTAATTTGATTATTTAGGGGGGTGTGTGTGTGTATATAAAATTATTTAGTCTAACAGCCTACCCTGGCTGAAAAACAGAATCACCAGTGTGCAAAAAATGACAGACAGATGTCAAGTATCTAGAGTAGGAGGCATCTCACATCTTGAATGCTATTGCCACTCACCCTGGGGCACAAGATTCTGTGTACAGAAGGGAGGAGAAAGTCCTTTTGCCCTTAAGTGGGGGGAAAGAGGCAAAAATCTCACGGTCTCAATGTGGAGAAGGAAAAAGTTCTCCCCTATGGCCAATACACCGAGTTAGGAAGAAGGGGGCCTTCTTTTTACTAGCATAGCAAAAGAACAAAACAGTGTCTCAACAGAATGACAAAGTTATAAAACTCTCTGGATTAATTAGCCTCCTCTGAGGAGGGCCCAAGAACTGAACCTCTATTGCTATCCCTATTTCTATGAATATCAGCAAGTTCCAAACCATTTTTTATGCAACTCTGTAATGCAACTTGTTTTTTGGTTGGGAACCTTCTAAATCTTACTAACTGGCAGTAATAACCACCATCATCATCCATTCATACAAATGGTTATGGTTGATAATGTAAGTATTAATAACTGTTGTCTATTTCCTGACAGTGGCCTAAACGTGATAGACGCTTGGGCATTTTTCTCCCTGTTAATGAGACTGTGTTTTTTGTTCTACAAAACTAATTACTTAAAAACTACTGTTTTCATTAGATAACAAGTAAATAGAGCTAGGCTTGAATCAGGAACTGGATAGATCATGAAACTGTTACAGCTATTGCTTAAGCTAGTACAGGTAACTTGAATTAACCAAACGGATTCAGCCTGAGCCTTGGTTTTCTTATCTGTCCAAGAACCCTCCCTCCAGAGGGCTGATACAAGAATTAAATGAAATCAAATATAAGCAATGCCCAGAACAAAGGACATAGGCAACTTCTAAGTTGTTCTTCCATGTTCTTGCTCTTCAAAGCCATTCTTTACTTCCCCACAAAACTACACTGTTAGGAGGTTTGGGCATTTCATCTACGTGGCAAATACGCAGAGTATAACCATGAAGTAATGAGACTGATTGTTAAATAAACATACCAAAATTTACATTTCAAATAAGTGTTGTTCCATTCAAAGAAGTCAGTTGGGAGGAAATAGAACTCACTCCAATGATGCAGTCACTTGTTCAAAACATTTTTGAAACTCTGCTTTTGTAACTGCCCTCACCAGCCAGCTATGAACTGCATGCACAAGAAAATAAGTCTCATTACATGAGAGGCACGTCTCTCTTTTTTTTTTTTTTTTACCCCTAATGGTATTGCTCAATTTGATCACCTACCTTATTTACCAGACATGTCTCAGAAAGATTTTGAAGCTTTTCTAAAATTAAATCTACCCCCAAAAAAGAAAGTTTGGCCACCATTCATTCATTTAAGATAAACAGAGGTTTATCAAGGGCCTCCAGGTATCTATACCCTGGGCCAGATGCCAGGAATTCAAGGTGAAGAGAACAGTATCTACCTTCCAGGGACTCCAATGTGCAAAAGAATCTGTCACTGGCTCTGAAAGCAATTCCAAAAGGAGAGAGCAAAAAAGTGTTGAGCAATGTCAACCATTATAATATGGCAGTAATAAATGAATATTCTTCCAAAGCAAGTACCTTAAAGTGGTACCACTTTTTGATGGTTAAGTTCTGCCATACTTATCAGAATTACTTGTCACCTTTTATCTGTACTTCGTATTAGTTTGATTTTACAGATTCCTGTACTTAAATATAATAATCTTAATAGTATGTCTTAAAAAAACCTATCATGATTGCTATCTCTACACTGTGTAACACAAAAGCATTTTAAAGCAAAAACTTGAGAAAATCTTAAAAAAAAAAAACCAACACTATCCAAATTTGAATTTTTCACATGACCAATAGTAAGTAAATACCATCTGATAAGAGAACAAACAGAATAGTGGTCACTCAAATGTCTGAACTAGGGGTTGACTTTTTTTTTTTTTTTTTTTTGGTAAAGGTTTATTTATTTGAGAGAGAAAGAGCACACACAAGTGGGGGAGGACAGAGGGAGAGGGCCAAACACTATATACTTTAGGTTTTGTTGGCCATACAATCTCTGTTGCATCTACTCAGCTCAGCTACTGTGGCACAAAGGCACCCATACATAATAAATAGGTAAATAAATGGGCATGGGTGTGTTCCCTGCAATAAAACTTTATTTACAAAAACAGACAACAGGCCAGATTTGGCCCACAGGCTATAGTTTGCCAACCCCTGGTCTAAACTGAATGCAGAAACCCTATGCATTTAGAGACACCCTATCTGTGTCTTGAGTCAGCATACCAGGTTCAAGGTCCAACTGACAGAGGTACTGGGAAGTATTCAATGTAACAACAACCACTCGGTGTTTAAGAATATCTTCTTTCTGTGGCATCTGAAAGGTGGAATGTGCGCTCGAGATCAAACAGTACTGATGCACAACTGGGTGGACAGTCTTTACCCAGCGATTTCTGAAATATACCCTATAAAAGAAGATAATATTTCCTGTTTATATTTATTAACATCTTACCAGCATAATCAAAAAATTAACATTATTATATTAAGACTGCCATATCTGAAAATTAACAAATAAATCTGGTAACCATTAACACTCTACTGAATTAGAATTTAACATACAACTGTGACTATGCCCTACCAAAAAAGGATTCAAACAGAAAGCATATATACTATCATAAAATAAATATCTAATTATTTTTAAGTGTTCAGATTAATCTTACAACAGAATGACAAACAGTTTCATAAGCACTATAGTTTTTTCAGTTCAAAAGATTCCCATTTGGGAATTACTTTTTTTCTAGAATATTCTTACAAAAATATACTTAATTCATATTGTAATTCTCTATGCTAAAAAAAAAAAAAAGTGAATTGCACACCTGCAACAGAAACTTAAAAGTTATCTGCATTTCACCTCAGAATTCTTACACCCATGTTTAAATCTAAAGGAGATTTACCTAAATTATCTAAAGGAGATTTAAAAATAAATTTAAATTTTGGACAATCAGAAAAATCTTAAGAAAGACCATCTCTTCCATTAATTGCAAAAGAAAAATATTAATAGGCCTCATGCAATAGACTACTAAAATGGTACAGAAACAAGGCATCCATCCATCCACCCACCCACCCATCTCTAACCCACTCACATATAACAAAGATCTACTGGGTGTCTACTATGCTCCAGCACAGAGACAAATCACATGGTTTCCCAGCTTTCATAACGGCTTTGATTTACTCTGATTTTAATGGAAAGCTATCAGAGAGTTCTGACAGGGCAGTCACATGATCTGACTTATGTTGGTAAAGGACCACTCTTTCTCTGGACAGAATATATAGTTTGGGGAGCTGGGAGGGGGAGGGCTGGACAGTGGTGTGCTGGTAAATGCTGAACAACCAGCTTGGAGGGTAGGGGTGGAGCAGATCCGTAGTGTTTGCTGACTTCTGTGGTGTAAAGTCCACTACCATGGCCAATTTCAAGCTACCAACATGATGTCACCAAACATGAACTTGGGAAGACATGTACATGATTGGTTCTCACAAGCCACTACAAGCTGGCTGCAACACACCACCGACTGGAACAGAGGCAGGGGCAGCGGAGGGAAACAGGGAGACCAGCTAGGAGGTTGTTGTAAGGGTCTGGACAAGAAAAAAATGACAGCTTGGACCAGGGGTGGTAACAGGAAAGATGTGAAAATGGCTGGATTCACTACACATTTTGAGAGTAATGCTGACGGGATTTAGTGAACCAGATGTGCAATTTAAGAGAAAGGATGATTCTGTGCCTTTGAAACTAGATGAACGACAGTGGTGTTTACAAAGATGGTCAAAGTGAAGAACAGATTTGAAGTGAGAACAGAATTCAGTCGTGGACAAATTCAGTAGCAGACATCCATGTCGGGATAGTCAATAAGCAGGGGGATGTATAAGTCTGAAGTTCAGGAGAATGTCTGGGACAAGAAATACACAATTGGGATAATATTTAAGCCTTGGGACTAGATGAGAGCAGCTGGAGAATAAGTGTAGATAAAAAAGAAACTAGTTGGGAGAATGACTGATGGTTACCCCAACATTTAGAGGCAGGGAAAAGAAGGGGAAACAGTAAAGAAAACTGGCAAGAAGCAATCAAAGAAGTAAAAAAGAACTCAGGAGAGCATGGGGTCCGATCAAGGGATACAAACGTCCATGTTACTAACTCTTTTGGATATTCTCCAGGCCCATCACAGTACTTGACTATTAGCAGCATCCAGCCCTGTGGTTGTTCCCTCCTTGCAACACTCTCTGCCCTCAGCTTCCATGACTCAACCTCTCCTTGCCTTCGTTCTTCCTCTCTAGGTTAGAGTTCCCCTAGGCTTACTCATCACACTCTTCTCGGGCCCTATTCTCTCCCTGCCCATCTCAGCCAGGCTCATGACTTCAATCACCACCAGTACTCTAGTGACTAACACATTTTTCTCTCTCCAGCCAAGACCTCATCTCCAGAATGCATATCAACTTTTTATTTAACATTTGTCTCCTTTAGGATATTTAAAAGGCAGCTCAAATGTAATATGCACAAAACCTAATCTAATGATCTTCTAAAATGTATTCTCACCTTTCATGATACACTTAAAAACTGGTTATTACTTTTAAGCGAAGCAAAAATATATATATATAAATTAGAAAAGTAAAGAAATATATTTTAAAAGCATTACTCTGATAGGAAGGACTGTAAACTTGGTAAAAGTAACCAATATCACTTCTAAAAGATGCAAAAATGGGGGTGCCTGGGTGGCTCGGTCAGTTAAGCGCCTGCCTTCGGCTTGGGTCATGATCCTGGGGGCTGCATCGGGCTCCCTGCTCAGCAGAGAGCCTGCTTCTCCCTCTTCCCCTATTCCTCCCCCCGCTCGTGCTCGCTCTCTCTCACAAATATATAAAATCTTTTAAATAGATAGATACAAAAAGGTTAAACAACATGTTTTAGGTTTTAATAAAAAATAATTAGATCAGCAAAGCGGAATTTACTTTTATGTAAATGAAAACTCTCATTTTACAAATTAGCTGAAAAAAATCATTTAAAATTATGATTCCATTAATATTAACTAAAATATGTGCATTTAAACACAGAAATTACTAGAAACTAAACTCCAAAATGTTAGTAGTATTTATCGCTGTGTGCTGAGATTACAGATAATTTTATTTTCCTCCTTGTTCTTTTCTATATTTTCCATACTTTCCTAAATGAAAATTTCATTGTAAAACTGGAAAAATGGTTTTTCAAATTACTCATTAATACTAATGCCAAGCACCACTTCGCCCTCAAAGGAAAAATAAAACTTGAAGTTCTAAGTCTCACTACTGACTTTTTTTGCAATTACCTTGGAAAACCACCTCAAGTTGAAGCTACTAAAAAGAAAAAGTTTGATCGTTAAGCCTATATTTCCTTAGAAGTACAATATTCTGGTGCTGACTTCAAAAAGTTTAAATATTTTCTTGGTGCTTTCATTTTGTGCAACATTTAAGGCAGACACTGTCTATAAGATAAGATTATTTAAAACACAACCAACATTTTTAAAAAACTGCAGAATAGGGCGCCTGGGTGGCTCAGTTGGTTGAGCGACTGCCTTCGGCTCAGGTCATGATCCTGGAGTCCCGGGATCGAGTCCCGCATCGGGCTCCCTGCTCGGCGAGGAGCCTGCTTCTCCCTCTAACCCTCCCCCCTCTCATGTACTTTCTTGCTCTCTCAAATAAATAAATCTTTTTAAAAAAATAAAAATAAAAACTGCAGAATAGTGACAAGTGTCACCTTCAAGCTCATAGTATGAAATGTGACACCGATTAAGTAATTTACATATTTCTAGGAACAAACCATCCACAGATCCCACATGAATTATGATTGTTAGAGTAGGAGATTGCCTGAAATTTTATTCATGTATTGAATTCATATAAAATAAACCCCCCAAAATGTTATTACACAAGATACTACAGAATCAGAAAGACCTGATCCCAGAATAAAATCTATTACTCTGAAGATCTGTATAAAACAACAAATACCTTCTATTTGCCCAGAAAGCAATAAATATACTCTCTCTCCATAGATAACCTCCATCTACTAAGTAATAAGTCTGCCAGAACCAGATACCGATCTTCAGAACCACACACAGAAACTGTGTTTTCCTCTCTAGTCCGTCTTAAGGTCTACTAATTTAAATGGAATAACGAAATATAATCTATAATGGTTTCTAAGACCTCCATCCCCAAATATTTTAAGCTCAACTCCTGGCAAGTAATAGAATTTTATACATTTCAACCATTAAGTGTGTATATTTGAACATATGTACTGTATTAAACTATTTAACGTTTATGACCATTTTCACACTTTATGGCATTTACTGTGGCCCACTCTAGACTACACTAAGCAGAAGGCAAACTCTTCAGCCGTCGTACACCACAGAGACAGCACATCTTCAAAGTCACACGCAGACACTTAGTGCCCCCTTGTGTTCTTTCCCCTGTATCCTGGGACAGATAAAGCTCTCCCCAGAGTGCTCAGCCATGCTAATTTCCTCTATCCCATCTCCCATACCTCTCATGTTTGTTGTCCATCAGGATAATTACAAATTAGTCTGAGTACAGATGGTTCTAATAAATTTTAATAATTCAGTGCACTATCCTCCTAGGAAATACATTTACAAGTTAACACCATTCCCAAAGAGAAAAACCACGGTGAAAATATAGGACCACAAAAAGAAAAGATTTAGTAAAAGTCAAGCCTCTTCTTATTTTATTCTATTTACTAAATGAAATAACTAGAAATTTGTATTTAAATACTTTTCCAGCTTTCTGACTGAACCACTCTTAAGACTTACGGAGAGGTGAGATTTTCTGCTAAAGAGCAAGTTTCTCTATCTGGGCCACTACAACTACACACGTACCCTACTGAGACGTAACTTCTTATTCTACACATTTAGACGCACTACCTATTGGATTATAACCTTCAAAACATAATTTTACGTGGGAAAAGTTAAACATAATGCTAGTCACATGGTAGATGTGAATCAACAACAGTTCTTCCGGCCCAAATAACAAATGACCTATCCTAGGTCAATCAAGATGTGAGGGGGCTTTACTTCATTGCTTCCAAGCCCAAGCACACCATGACAATTGAGGCTGTCACAGTTCCTACGTACCACACACATATACAAACATAAACACACACACCAACAACAAAAGCAAACGAAACACCTCCATTAAAGTAAGAACACTCATAGCAACACTGCTACTAGCTACTGAGCTTTTACTTATGACTAAAGAAGATTAGAATCTGAAGCAAACTAGTTACTGATGAACACCACATTTTCATTTATAGCGATTGTATATATGTGATATTTTCTTATTAAATACAACTGGATTCTACTTAAAACAATTATTTCTGCTCTAATTTATCTTCCAGAGTGAAAACAAAGTATGGCATAAAAACTTGTGTTAGCAGGCCACACCACGTTTTTCTCTTTTGTTCTTTTTAATGCAATTGCAAAATCATTCAAATGGCTTTGGTTGTGGTTATTAAGAATTAAATAGCGTAATCTCATTTTTCCATGCCTGGACTCAACTAGAAATAAAAAGTTAGTGGATTATGATTCAAAAGTGTGGTTAGAAATTAATTTGTAAGCAATAATTGTATTCGAACAACACAGGGCATGACATTATTAGTTTGTAAAATGGCAAAACTAAACATTAATTCATATAACAATGAAAGCAAATGGTGTATAAACAACCATTCAATGATTCTTTATTGTTTTCTGAAGAAAAGGATTTTATTCCCCCACAATCCGTATTTAAGTACATTTCATATCCATATACATTTAAGACGACCTTTCTATATCAATGTAAACTTTTGACGCTTTGTTTCTTAAATGACTGCAAAAAGTTTTAAATACCAGTCAAATACATTTTGTTGCAGAAATCATATCAATATTTCATGCTTCTCTAAAGTGTAGCTTCTATGAAATTACCTGCATGATCACAGTCAAAATTTTATATCTACTGCATGACTACTCTGCCATGCAAAATATGCTGGAATTTTAATTAAATTTGTTAAATAAATCATATTTATATTATTTCATCATAGTATCTTTTAGAGGTACACATCAAAATTTGCTCAGATTGCAACAACATTTTTACATACAAAACTTAAAAAAGGATGTCTTTCTCTTTACTTAATGTTTAAGAAATGAATGTGGTCAAAGATTTTTAAATTTTTCCTTAATTTTAAATGACTGCTTCAAAAGGCATCACCTCCAAATGCCAACATACAGTTAAAGATTTTGTGTTCTTCAAGTTACTAAAATCTTTACAGACACCTTTTCTTAAGAATAATAAAGTATGATACAGATACATAATAAGCCTTAAAAAATACCTGAGAGGTCTTGCCTGGGGATTGCCTGCTTCTACATATGGATGTAAATAATCCTTTATGTAGAGGTCAGCAGCACTATTAGAATGGGTGCAAATGAGGATCCTGCTGAAATAAATGGTGCAAATAAAAAGAATGATAAAACACAAAACTACTCAAGCAGTATAATACCAAACAAAAGCAGGGGCCATCTTAATATCATACATTTCCCTCAACCTACTCAGCAATCTCCAACATATTACTCAATGATGTTTTCAGGAAACCATTACTCTTTAAGCTGTAAAGGAAACAAGTTCCCCCAAATTCTTTTTAAATCTATCACACAGAACATTTTTTACGCACCCAACTCTTTTGGCTATAACATATATCACAATTCCTTTTGCAGACTTGGAATTTTGATGGCTATTTAAAAGGTATCATTCTCTACACTGCCAGTTTTTAAAAACAGTATGTTTTAAAAGAATTCAAATTTTAGTCCTTTGGGGTTTTGGTGTGTGTTTTTTTTTTCCCCCACAAGCTGAATTAAAGTGGTCTTGCTAGCCTTAGCTTTGTACTCACAATAAGGACAGAGGCCTTGTGCCCTAATGATGAAATCGGAGCACACATACCACCATCTCACCTCGTCTCCTGCTGCTGGAGTATGTGCTTGACAGCCTGAGCTAGAGTGAATGTTTTGCCTGTCCCATAGGGTCCAATGATGAGAACAGGAGGCAGCTGTATTGAAAGTGGAGTTGTAATGGCCAGAACAGCCTCTTTCTGTTTTGCATTTAGCCGAGGATCCAACTGCTCATCCCACTGTCTACAGAAAATAAAAATTTATTTTAAACACATGCACCTTATAAATAAACAAAACACAACATGAGAGAATCCTAAATTTTACTGAACCATTAAAAATACTGAAGAAGCAGAGCATCTACAAAAACAAATGCTTATTCTAAAACTTCTTTTCAGAAAACTACCCAAGAGAGTCAGTGCAGGGTGCTTCACTATGTTAATCAAACCTCACTTTAATTACTTTGTCCTATTCCAAGTGCAAAAAAAGATTTTTTTTTTTAAGATTTTATTTATTTATGTGACAGAGAGACACAGCGAGAGAGGGAACACAAGCAGGGCGAGTGGGAGAGGGAGAAGCAGGTTTCCCGCCGAGCAGAGAGCCAGATGTGGGGCTCGATCCCAGGACCCGGAGATCATGACCTGAGCCAAAGGCAGACACTTAACAAGTGAGCCACCCAGGCGCCCCTCAAAAAAGATTTTGATAACTAAAGAAAGCACACACACTTCTAGTCTAGCTGCTACCAAGTCTATAAATAGTAATGGCAATGTCTCAAAAATTTAATTTCCCTCTGTTACATAAAAGGATCAGAAAACTTTTTTTCGGGTAATAAAGAAGTATTAGTTTCTTTGCACAGCAAGTAAAATGCAAAAGGGAGACAAACCGAATTTCAAATTCTAGGCCACTGAAGCTCTCTTTAGTGAAGTTTAAAACAAGAGGCAAAGAAAAAACCTGTATGTTCCTGGTTAAGAGATATTAAACCTTTACGAAGTTCTTAAGTCAGAAAATAGCAGTTTGGTTTTTTTTAAAGGTATCAAAGAGGGGCAGGTGCCTGCGTGGCTCAATCAGTTAAGCATCTGCCTTCAGCTCAGGTCATGATCTCAGGGTCCTGGGATTAAGCCCCAAGGCAGGCTCCCTGCTCAGAGGAGAGCCCGCATCTCCCTCTCCTCCCTGCTCGTGATCTCTTTCACTATCTCTGTTGCTATCTTTGTCTCTCTCTCTCAAATTATAAATAAATAAAATCTTTTTTTTTTTTTTAAGATTTTATTTATTTGACAGAAAGAGACACAGTGAGAGAGGGAACACAAGCAGGGGGAGTGG